TATCATCAAAGACAAGGAGTTGACTATGATGAGACTTTCTCACATGTTGCCATGATCAAATCTATTAGGATCATGCTTGCAATAGCGACATATCACGACTATGAAATTTGGCAAATGGATGTCAAGATCGCCTTCTTGAATGGGTTCTTGAAGGAGGATGTGTACATGACACAACCTAAAGGCTTTGAAATCAAAGATCAGGAGCATATGGTATGCAAACTTCAAAGGTCGATATATGGGCTAAAGCCATCAAGGAGTTGGAATATTCGTTTTGATGAAGTCGTTAAGAGTAACGGTTTTATCAAGAACGAGGATGAACCTTGTGTTTACAAGAAGGTTAGTGGGAGTAATGTCGTCTTCCTAGTACTTTATGTAGATGACATATTGTTAATAGGAAATGACATCCCCACATTACAAACAACGAAAAAGTGGCTTTCAAAAAGCTTCACCATGAAGGATTTGGGAGAGGCGGCCTTTATACTTGGTATAAAAATCTATAGAGATAGATCAAACAGGCTGCTGGGTTTATCTCAATCCACGTATATTGACAAGATGCTAAAGAAGTTTAGCATGGAAGGGTCGAAAAAGGGTTTTCTTCCCGTCAGTCATAGGGTACATCTTTCAAAGGCCATGTGTCCTAAGTCACAGGCTGAGAAGGATCGCATGAGTGGAATTCCATACGCTTCGGCTATTGGATCCATCATGTATGTCATGATATGTACGAGACCAGATGTCTTATATGCTTTAAGCATTACGAGCAGATACCAGTCGGACCCTAGAGAGGGTCACTGGATGGCAGTCAAGACCATCCTTAAGTACTTAAGAAGAACTAAGGATATGTTTCTGGTCTATGGTGGGGTTGATGAGCTAATAGTGAAAGGGTTCACTGATGCCAGCTTTCAGAGTGACAAAGATGACTGCAAGTCACAGTCAGGGTTCGTATTCACCTTAAATGGTGGGGCAGTATCTTGGAAGAGTTCCAAGCAGGAGACAACAGCAGATTCAACGACAGAAGCTGAATATATAGCTGCTTCAGAAGCGGCTAAGGAGGCCGTGTGGATCAAGAAGTTCATATCTGAACTTAGGGTGGTTCCAAGCGTGGATGAGCCCATACAGTTGCTGTGCGACAACACTGGAGCCATTGCGCAGTCAAAGGAACCCAGGTCTCATCAACGATCTAAGCACGTGCTCCGCAGATATCACCTGATTAGAGAAATCATTGATAAGATGGATGTAAAGATGGATTATGTTCCCACAGATGATAACCTGGCCGATTCTCTGACAAAGGCTGTTTCTCAGAGAAAACATGATAGTCATTATGAGGCTTTGGGTATACGACTTAGGTCTGATTGGCTCTAGGCCAAGTGGGAGCTTGTTAGTATATGGATGTCCTAGAGACAATTTTTTGATTAGATTAGGACATATGTAGACCTTTTATATTGTCACAAATAAAAGCACTATTTATCCTGTTTCATATTTTGTCTCAATATTACTATTAATATTTATATGAGTAACTGGATAAACCCCTTGGAATAAAATAGGTATCTCTTGAGTATCTGTGATGAGATCACGATCAGGTGTGAATACTATTAAGTTGTTTAAATAATCTAATATATATGCATAGAATACTATTAAATGTACATGATATTAAATGATACAGGTGTGAGATTGTGATATAACAATATTAAAAAGGGAAAATTTCAAAAACCCCCTATAAATTTTTTTAGAATCACTTACCCCCACCCTAAAATTTTTAATCATTTACACACTTATTTAAAACTTTTTTATCACTTACCCCCTAACTTGATTTTCCATTCAAATTAAAGTTAACGGTGTTAGTCTTTTAAAAAAATACTAACACTACCCTTAAAAAAAAGAATTAACCCTCGACACCTTATTGCTAGCAAGAGATAACAAACTATCGTCAATGATCTACTGAAAACTACCATTCAAGTAACATGGATTTTTTTGTTATTTTGTAATTTTTTTCCAGCCCCACTATATGTTTCACCTTTCGTTTGTCAAAGATGAACCAATTTTCAATGCTTCCATATATTAATTAAAGGACCAAAGGTGTAAATATTTTCAGCAAGTAAAAAAATGGACAGCAAAAAAATCAATTAAAGGACCAATTTCATTAACTATTATCCATAAAATAACATGTCTGGACAGCAAAAGAAATGGGTTTCCAAAAAATCTGGAAAAATAACAACAAGCTTCAAAACAATCTCCTTTCAAGCATATTAATCTAAAAAAAAAATAAAAAAAATTGAACAACAATTGTCTATTCGTTGATTCAAATTCAAGAACTCGTTATATCGCTGATTCAAATTCAAGAACTCGTTGGTAAATGGAATATATATATATAGACGCTGATTCAATATATATATATATACACACGCTGATTCAAGAACTCATAACAACGTCTATATATATATATATATATATATATATATATATATATATATATATATATATATATATTTCGCAGAACTCGCAGATTCAAAATTTCACATAATTCACAGAATCAAAAACTCGCAAATGGTATATATATATATATGGGGATGGATCATTTGACTCCAGAGTAAGATTTAAAAGTCTTACTCCTCATTTGACTCCCAATGGGTGCAGCTCGGTTGGTAATTTGGCGCTGAGTTAGTGGGGTTGGACATGTGTTCGATTCCTGCTGAATGCATTCTTGGGGAGGGGGCTGAACCTTTAGCCATCACTGCTCCCCCGCACTCCGGATTAGTCCCATAGCCGGCTCAAAGAGTCGAAGCTCGTGGGGATACCGGAGGGAGCCAACTCGCCTCAAAGAGGTAATTAGGGTTGGGTAACTCCAAAAAAGAGAGAGAGTAAGATTTAAAAGTCTTACTCCTCATCTCAGCCCTTGATTTCCGTTCATCCAACGGTTATCATTTAATAAGTTGCAACAATTAATTAATTATAAGTTTCAATTAAATGAAAACCATTGGATGAACGGAAATCAAGGGCTGAGATAACGAGTAAGACTTTTAAATCTTACTCTGAAGTCAAATGATCTCTCCCCTATATATATATATATATATATATATATATATATATACCAGTCCAAATACTCAAATAGAATGGAGATTACCAGACAAATCTTTGATTGTTGTGTGTATCTCTCAGAACCTGAATTATATAAGCGGCTAATCAGAAGCAGGGCGGTGGAGCGTCAAAAGATTAGGGCTCCACTCCTCAATGACTATCTATTGCAGCGGTAAGGTACAGTGTTGTGTGTTACTTTTCTTTAAGGGTAGTTTTGGTTTTTTTTTTTTTAAATTAACACCGTTAACTTTAATTTGGATGGAAAATCAAGTTAGGGAGGTAAGTGATAAAAAAGTTTTAAGTAGAAGTGTAAATGATTATAAATTTTTAGGAGAGAGTAAGTGATTCTAAAGGAACTAGGGATTTTTTTTGAAGTTTTTCCTATTAAAAAAGAGTCGATAGAGTAAATATGTAAAAAGATAGTCATAATATCTTATTCATGCAAAATATATAGAAAAAGAAAAGCATAATCAATTAAGAAATAAAATGCATTTTTTCTTCTTTATTTTTAAGTTGCTTCTATTACATTTATTTTTATTTGTTCTTTTTAAATGTCTCCCTAATTTATGTTGCCAAGTATTTCATTAAATTCATAATTCACAATAACATAAATTAAGTTAAGTGTTTTCGTAAAAAAATTAAAACTGAGCAGGTAATTGAATTTAGGCAAACATTTGTCAACTACTTAATAGAATTTGATCAGAGAGATATTTGTAATCAAATTCTAAATCTAAATTGTTTAAGATTAGAAAAAATCTTTAAGAGAATGCATTATTGAAGATATTTATCTTATATAAGATTTATTGAAGTTTATGACTTTATAGAAATACTCAAGCCTAATTCGTTTAAAAAAATAATTAGGATAGATAAAAAAAAATTGAAACTAGAAGAGATGAAAGTGTGAAATAAGGAAAAATGAATAGGACCAAAACCAGTAGCCACATTCATGCCAAGCACATGCTTGTTTTATTTTTTATTTATTTATTTTATATAAGTATATAATTAATTATAATTAACCAAAGTTAAAATTGTAAGTTGCCACCGTCTAAATAGAAAATCAAATACTCAATACAAAGTAATAACAAATCATCTAAATTTGTTTGCTTTGATATATAATTATTGACAATTATTTATTTGAATTTTCAATGCTTTGTGATATTAGTTAATACATAGTTTAAATAACTATGCTAAATTTATAATATATATTTTTTCAAATAAATTTATGTAATTACGATAAATATTTTGATAATTTGATATGTCAAATATTTTAACACTACTTAAATTTTTGGACTATGCTAAAATTCATAATAATTTTTTTTTCTAATAATTTTTTTTAATAATTTAATATGTCAAACTTTTTAACATCACATAAATTTTTGGGTTGGCTTGTGCCACTGATCAAAACTAAATAGATGAACCCATGAATTAAATAACTTAACATGAAGAAATACAAAAAAATATTAAAGAAATTTTATATTGTCCTGATCAATTTTGGGGCATATCTTCACATTCACAATAGCAGGTTGGGGGACACATCAACATTGTATCGATCTAGTAGAAACCGAAGTCACAAGTAAGTTACCATTCATAATCACTTCCATAACCATCTTCTTCTTCTTTTTTCCTTTTAAATTCATCATTTTTGTTCTTTGCTTTTTTGTTTTCTCTGGCTATCAAACTCTTTTTTTTTGCTTTACTAAGTCTCAGATTTTGCTGAGTAGTACTTGTTACATGCATTCTCTTCTTCGACAGGAAAAAAAAAAAAAAAGCCTTCTCTTCATCTTTTCTTTTCAAATTTTTAACCTTTTTCTTTTCTTTTATAATTTTTCTTCCTTTTTCAATTTTAGCTTCTTTTGAATTTGACCGTTGAGGAGGAAGCTAACTCATCCATCTTCTCCAACACACCCCATGATTTTGTAGGGTTTTTTTTTGCTCATTAACCTCAAAGCTTGGTGCTTTATTTTTGTCACTTTTAATTTTCTTTTTCAGAAAATAGAAAAAAAATCCTTTTTTTTTTCAGGGTTTTACTGATTCTGGTTTTCACAAAGCTTTTTGGAGAAGGGGGTGTTTTAGAACCAGTAATTTTCAAAGGAATCTTGTAGGTTTTGAACTGAGAGTGTGAAGTTCTCAACTTCTGCATTCCCTCATTGGGAGAGAGACAAGAAAAAGGTATTGAATTTGCTGCAAACAGAGCAAAAAAGGAAAGGAAAAAAAAACTGTTTTTGGTGCAAAAGAGATTTTTGGAAGATGATTGCTGAGAAACCTAGCTGGGTTAGGCATGAGGGCATGCAAATTTTCTCCATTGATGTTCAACCCGGTGGGCTCCGGTTTGCTACTGGTGGTGGTGACCACAAGGTATGGCCTTTTCTCTCATCCTTGTTGGTTTGTTTAAGAGTCTCAATTTTATGATGAATTTGAATTTTGGGTGTGTCATTGTTGTGTTTAATATGTATTGTGGATGAATGGGAAAATTTTGTGCTATTTTGTTTGTTATTTTGTTGCTGAGCTTACTGGGAATAAGAGTGCTGCTCAGATGTTTGATGCGTAGTTTGTTAGGTGCTGTGAGACTGAGACTGGTGCTGAGAGCTATAAGAATGATTTTCAAATAATCACCTTCTCAGCTGTGTTTCATGCAGGTTCGAATATGGAATATGAAGTCTGTTTTTAGGGACATTGCGAATGATGAGTCTTCTTCTCAGAGGCTTCTTGCAACCCTACGGGATCATTTTGGGTCTGTTAACTGTGTTAGGTGGGCTAAGCATGGAAAATATGTCGCATCAGGGTCAGATGATCAGGTTATATTAATTCATGAGAGAAAGCCTGGTTCAGGAATCACCGAATTTGGCAGTGGCGAGCCACCGGATATTGAGAACTGGAAAGTTGCAATGACTTTGAGAGGGCACACTGCAGATGTGGTAATGCAATTGCTTTTAATATTTCAATCTCTTTTCTTTTTCACAAAAAAAAAAAGTCTTTCAAGTTTCAGCTAATTAATTCACATTTTCTCTTTGAAAGTAAATAAACTGGATTTGTCATTGAAATAGTCGTCTATCGTAACTTTTTCCTCACCCTGCATATCCAAATACTTTTACATCTTTTATGAGCATCATTAACTTGTGATATATTTGTCCTTGCTTAGAGTAGGTGGATCTTAATTGGTCTCCCGATGATTCCGCATTGGCTAGTGGGAGTTTGGACAACACCATCCATATATGGAATACGAGCAATGGCATTTGCACTGCTGTTCTAAGGGGCCACTCTAGCCTTGTTAAGGGGGTTGCTTGGGATCCTATTGGATCTTTTATAGCAAGTCAGTCTGATGATAAAACTGTCATTATTTGGCAAACTAGTGATTGGAGTCTTGCTCATAGGACAGATGGTCACTGGGCTAAATCAGTAAGTTTCTTATTTTAGAAATCTATTCTGACCTAATAAAATTTTCTATTTCCTAATTGAACCTTGTATCTTTCAGCTTGGATCAACCTTTTTCAGGCGACTTGGATGGTCTCCCTGTGGTCATTTTATCACCACTACTCATGGTTTCCAGAAGCCAAGGCATTCTGCCCCCGTGCTTGAGAGAGGGGAGTGGACTGCAACATTTGACTTCTTAGGACACAATGCTCCGGTTATTGTGGTGAAGTTCAACCATTCAATGTTCAGAAAGAATTCCTCTAATGCTCAAGAAGCGAAGTCTGTGCCTGTTGGGTGGGCCAATGGTGCTTCGAAGTCAGGAAACAAAGAGCCACAGCCATACAATGTTATTGCCATTGGAAGTCAGGATCGAACTATAACCGTATGGACAACTGCAAGTCCCCGTCCTCTTTTTGTGGCTAAGCATTTCTTTACTCAAAGTGTGGTAGATTTATCCTGGTATGGTCTTCATCAATGGCTGCGATATATATGTGGCTTGAATGTTGTTTGTTTTTTAATTTTTTAATTGATTTGACTTCTTTATTTATTTGAATGACTCTGCATTGTAATTCTTACATTATTATTATTTTTCATTTGGAGACAGGAGCCCTGACGGATATTCACTTTTTGCCTGTTCATTGGATGGATCCGTGGCTACATTCCATTTTGAGGTGAAAGAACTTGGTCAGAAACTAAGTGATGCTGAGCTAGATGAGTTGAAGAGAAGTCGCTATGGCGACGTGAAAGGTCGTCAAGCAAACTTAGCAGAGTCTCCAGCACAGTTATTGTTAGAAGCAGCTTCTACCAAGCAAGCACCTAGCAAAAAAGTGGTTTCTGATGTCCAGAAAATCACGACTATATCAAAATCTTATGTTGATTTGCGCGTAACTACACAGAATGCTGAGCCTCAAGTTGATCATAGTAAAAAGAGTGAAGGTCATGTTGGTGATGCATTAAACAAAGTTACAACCTGTGCCCGGATTTCTAGCCCTGTCAAGCAAAGAGAATATAGACGACCTGATGGCAGAAAAAGAATTATTCCAGAAGCAGTTGGAGTGCCTGTTCAGCAGGAAAATGTTTCTTGCGGAGTTCAGTCCCAAGCACTTGATTTCCCTCTTTTGTCTTCTGATCACAGAAAGGGTACAAATGTAATTGCATCTAATGATGATAGTGTAAGAGCAGTTACCTTGGGAGGTGGACCTGGCAGACCTTCAGATTTAAAAGAACGTTCTGGCGTTACTGCTAGGACCACAATTTCCGAGAGCCTAGTGATTGAGAAAGTTCCAGATTCTTCTGGCAGAGATAGAAATATCAATGCTGAGCAATTGGGAAACTCGATGACTACTGGTTCTATGGCTGCTTCTGGTACTACTCTTTCAATTTGGGTATTTGACAAGAAAGGCGGGGAGGATACTTCATCTATGTGTTTGGAAGCATGCCCTAGAGAACATGCTGTGAATGACATTATAGGGGTGAAAAACACATCCATGTTAAAGGAAACAGATATTACTTGCAAAAGGGGGCCTCAAACTCTTTGGTCTGATAGGATATCAGGAAAAGTCACTGTTTTAGCTGGAAATGCAAATTTCTGGGCAGTTGGGTGTGAAGATGGATCTCTGCAGGTAGATAGTCTTTCTATGTGTATATATGATTTACTTTTCACTATATTTCTATTATCATTTCTATGTTTGTATTGTATCATTACCTGTGGTAGTTGTACCCATGGTTGTCAAGATTGCGTGCCAACTCGTTGGATCATAGATCGTAAGAGTTTTTCCACCACGTACGCTCCAATTCGGTTGCAGAATCGTACATGAATGGGGTTGCACAGGATCATCGAGCGAAATCGTAATGGTGGGATCGTTCAATCCCTCCGTTCTGGACGATTTGTGAAAATACCGAAAGAAATGTGAGTGTGAGAGAGAGAAAGAGAAGAGGGCAGGAGTTGGCGGTTGTCATCGGAGATCTGATTGACGAAGAGGGCAACCCCTCGCACTTGTTGCGAGATGTGGAGGATCTCTGGCTGCAAACGAACTTCTCCCATTGAAGAGAGAGAGAGAGAGAAATACAGAAACGCTTTTTCACTTTGGAATAGCATATCCACTTTGGATCTGATCTAACAGTTAAAAAATGGTAGTAAGAGTAGTAAGATTAAGGAGGTAAGTAAGTATAACCTGCCCTTTTAACAATTAACTTTTATTAATTATATAGAAAGTTTTAATCTTCTAAAGGGCAGGGTTATACTTACTAACTCCTTAATCTTCCTGCTCTTACTACCATTTTCAACCGTTAGATCAAATCCAGATCAACGGCTAATATAACAAAATTAAAAAAAAAAGGCAGTTTCATTCATCCTTAACTCCTTCTCTCTTTTGGTCATCCATACCACCTCCTTCTCTCTCTTCCATCTCGATTTAAGCCAGACGACCAAATGTGCGTTTGTTTATGCCCACACCAAGAACGGTTCCCATCTCTATAGATGGAAACACATTGATTGGCAACATCAAATTCAAATTCTTAGTAAGGTATCCATATAAAGAACAATATCTAATTTTGATATGACAATGCCCATCGTACTTCGTACTTCTAAAACCGATACCATACCAAGGCATAGAATATTTTATAATTTTGGACACTAAAGATCCAATGGATCTGAAAGTATTCCTTCTTTCTCTTTATGCATTATTGACCAACTCACTTATCTTGTTGGTTATCACTTTCGTTTTTGGTTCGGATACATCAGTGTGAATGTTTTGGAAAGATTATATTTCTAATAGTAATATAAATGTTGGTTGGTTGGTCATGTTGAGTTGTTCTGCATCTTCAGTTCAGTTTTGTCTTACCAAGCTATTAACTAAGGGCATGTTTGGTGCATAGTATAGGATAAGACCTGATAGTATAAGACCTGATAGTATAAGACCTGATTAAATTTTAATACAATCCAACGTTTGGTATGGTATTGTATAAGAAAATAACTTTCAATATTTTAAAAATTAATATATTAAAAAAAATTATTTTAATATATTAATATTGAAATGATATATTAGTTTTTGGGAATTGCACTTATAAGCAATATTAATACATCAACCCCTTATCAGGCCTTATCCCTCCCTCTTAGGCCGGATTAAGTTATACATCGTTTTGATGTATTAAGGGATTCTGCTGTATAAGCTTATACTATACAATGGTCACATCAAACAACTGAAAATGTCATAATGTATAGTATAAGCTTATACTATCATGCCTTATACGTCACACCAAACAGGTCCTAAATGAATCAAATGGCTAACCAAGAGATATTGGTAAAGAAAACAAAAGAACTATTCTTTTTGGGATGAAACGGAAGAGAGAGAAGGTGTGGATGACTACCAGAGAGAAAGAGAAGATGATAGTGTAACTTTTTTTTTTTAATTTTGTTATATTAACTGTTGATTTGGAAATTTTCGTTGTTGCATGTTTGGAAATTATTTGGAAATAACTCTGCTTTGTCTTTTGTTGTCAACTTGAGATCTTATTGTAAAAAAAGAATATATATATCTTAGGAAGAGTGTCCATTGCACGGGTCAAGTCTGTAGAATTTGTTAGTGTGCACATTCCCTCTGCACATGCAGCTGGAAGAAACTCAGACTGTGGTAACTGATCTCAAAAGTTGGTTATACTTAAAAATATCCCATAAATATGACACTGATTATTCTATATCAATTGATATCTAAGCAGGCCAAACTGCAAATCACTGCATGAAGACAACTATCCATTCTTGTTAAGAGAAATATAATATAAAAACCATAGTTTTAAATAGCGGGTAGCGGCCGACCCCAAAAACGGTATAGCGGGTAGCGGTAAAGCCGCTACTGTGAAGTCCATATAAATACTTATAATAAATTATACCACATATATAAATTCTATATAAATGCTATAAGATAAGAAATCACCCAAAATAGGAGGAAATAAGTAATGAAAAGTATGATACTACACATTCAAAACAAGGATTAAAGGGAACATAAAGGAAGCAACATACTAGTTCATTGAAGGAAACTAAATTAATAATATTCTAGGAATATAAAGGATCCAAGTAGAGTCAAATACAAATTGCTCTATCAAAATCAAGAAGGAAAAGAACTAATCAGAATCATCATCATACATTTCTTCAAAGCCTTGTTCTTCTCCACCCTCACTTTCTTCACTAGTATTAAATTTGTAGATTTGTTCATCCTCATCTTCTATTTCTTCGTTATCACCTTCTTCAATCTATTCAGCCCTTATTCCCCTAGAGCTTGATGGCATAGAGGCAGCTTCCTTCCTGAATCTAGTATGCTGCCTAGTGTAAGTTATAGGCTCATTAGCCCCAATTACATTAGCAACATCTCCCCAAGTTAATGTATCATCATAAAAAACGAACTCATTTTCTGCATCTTCACCCACTTCTCCCACCAACCATTCATTACTTTCATCAATGTCTTTTAGGACAATAGGATCAACCAAATCACGGCTCTCAAAACGTGTTCTTTAAGAGCTTGATTATACTTAATAAAGACTAAGTCTTGCAACCTTTGATGCTCAAGCCTGCTTCTCTTCTTATAATGAATCCAGTTTACAATTTCCAATAAAGAATATTAGTTTCACAATCATGATATGAAACTCTACAAACAAAAATCATTTAACAAGTACTTACATGCTCAAAAGTACTCCAATTATGCTCACATCCCGATGAGCTACAAGTTAAGCCTAACACTCTAACAGCAAGGTTTCGCAAATTTGGAACATGTGCTCCATATGACTTCCACCATTGAGCTGTAATGCAAATTGCAACTTGTTAACTTTACCAGTTGTTAAATAAAAGCTTAAAGTGATCAAAAAGTGTGCTTTTACTTACCAGGAGCAATTTTATTCCTTTGTCTTATTGCTGTATTCATACCAAAAAGGCCTTCTGTATTCCTATATTTTTCCAATTGTCCATGGATCTTGTCCACCTCTTCCTCACTTGCACTTAGCTTGTCAATGCATTTATATAGTCCAACTATCAATTCAGCATCATCATCAATGTTTGGATTAGCATAAAAGTATTCGGGGTTTAGATAATGGCCTGGAGCATGTAATGGATGATGGAGTTGGCAGTCCCATCTTCTATCAATTATAGCAAAAACATCCCTATATTTATCTTCATTTCCATTGAAAGACTTTTGAATTGCTTCCTTGGCCCTATCCATTGCTTCATATATATATCCCATTGCGGGCCTTCTTTCATTATCAACAAGTCTAAGCACCCGCACAAAAGGCCCCATAACCTTTAAAGAATGAATAACATCATTCCAAATGATGGCATAAGTACAGTGTCAGTCGCCCTTTTTCCCTTAGGGTCTTTTGCTGTATTTGATTTCAGCCAATCATCTGATGTGAACATCTTTCTAAGATTATTTTTTTTCTTATGAAGCCTTTGCAATGTGAGGAAAGTTGTAGCAAATCTTGTCACTCCATGCCTAACTAATTCAGTCTTGCTTGTATACTTCCTCATTGTGTTCAATGCCAATGTGTGATTATAAATGAACCCAACAAGCTTGATGCCTTTTTGTATTGCTTTTTTAACTCTCAATTTTTCCAATATCTTCAAGCATCAAATCCAAACAATGTGCAGCACATGGAGTCCAAAACAAATTTTTCTCTTCGCTTGTAACAATTTGCCTAAGAACAAATTAAACAACCTAAAATGAGTAACAAGTAAAATAAAAATTAACATTAAATGAGGTTAAATTAAACAAATTGTGTCTTACCAGCCAATACATAATTGCTTCCATTGTCGGTCACCACTTGAACAACATTTTTCTCCCCGATCTCTTCAACAAAATTATCTAAAAGCTCAAATAATTTTGCTCCACTCTTGACATAAGAAGAAGCATCAATGCTCTTCACAAACATAGACCCGGATGGAGAATTCACCTAGAAATTTATCAACGTCCTATTCTTTCTATCAGTCCATCCCTCCGACATAATGGAACATCCATAGTTGGCTCTTTGTACCTCATGATCTTTTAATAAATTCTTGGTATAATCCAATTCCTTTTTAAGTAGAGGAATTCTGCATTCATAATAACTTGGGAGCTTTAGACTTGGACCATAATTCCCAATTGCTTCAACCATGTACTTGAAGCTTTTTGAACGTACAACATTGAAAGCTATTCCATTCGTACACAAAAATCTTTCAATGTATTGAATAGTTCTAGCCCTTGCTTCTTTATCACAAGCATCATTTATGCTTGTTTGCCTCTTTCCTTTGCCCACTTTAATGCTTGCTTCTGGTTTCTTAAAAAAAAGTAAATCCAAGGGGCCTTTAACTCTCTTGGTAGCAGCAGCAGTATTACAATTTGAGGCTTCACTTGAAGCTGTCTCACTCCTTTTCCCATTTTTAATGTGTTGAATTTCTTGCACCTCTTCTAACATATCATCATCTTCATGTATATCAACACTATATGCATCCTTTTCAGCAAGCTTTTGCACATAAGCATCTTTCATGATCTTCTTAATTTTTGGTGAGATTTTTCTACAAGGACCCACATCCCCCTTCAACCCAATCTGGTGTCTTTTGGCTCTTGTGATGCCACCCGTTGTATCTTTCCCACAAAAATCACATGTTACATATCTCTTATTATTGATATCTTTTAAACTATTCCACTGCCACGCGATATCAAGATTTTCACATGTGGGTTTTGCCAATCCGCAAGAAGCCACAGAAGCTGGGTTGTTTTGTTGGATATTTTGCGATGCCATGACTAGAAAACAATGGGAGTTGAAGAAAAGCAGAGGCAAAAGGCAAAAAAAAAAAACAGAACAGTGGCAAAACAGAAGGGAGAAAACAGAGGGCCTTAAATAGAGTGGCTGTTGCATTGCAAACCAGAAAACGATGAAGGAAAAAATTGCTCTCAAGCCAGAACAGTCACAAACCAGAAAATAGAACAGTTGCGTTGCAGAAACAGGGGCCTAGTGCATTGCAGAAACAAGGGCTGAGTGCGTTGCAGAAACAGGGGAGGGGCTGAGTGCGTTGCAGAAACAGGCTGAGTGCGTCGTTCGTTTTCAACGTCAATCTCCAGGAACTTCAACAGAGCAACATGCTTGTGGGTGTTTTCTTCTCAGCAAAAAATAAAAGAGTAGAAAAGAAGATGACACAGACAAGAGAAAGAAGACGTGTAAAAAGAGGGAAAGAAGACGTGGAAAAAGAGGAGGTAAAGAAGACACGTTTCCCTCTCTTCTTTTCAGAAAAAAAAAGCGAAAGTAAATACCTGTTTTACCCCTCATTAATCCAGCTGTCCTTTTTCTTCCCATTTTACCCTTAATTGAGATCCAAATCTCCCAAACGATGCCCCCTCTGTTTTTTTCATCCCCGATCTCTGAAACTCCACCTCTCGTTCCTGTAGCGGTGCGATAGCATGGGAATAGCTTCCGTCCGCCACCGCCGCTACTGTCCGCCACCGTCCGCTTCCGGAAACTGTGGCATTGCGGTGCAGAAGTTGCGTCTGGGTGCCGCAACCCGCACCAGAACTGCAATCTCGCGCTATAGCGCCACTATTGCAATCATAGATAAAAACAGATGTGGCTTTAACCTAACAGCTTAAACTTTTTGGTTGAATTGATTCTTTATATAGTCACAGAGTCTCCATAACAAAGTGGTCATGAATTTGATTCTCATCGCTCTTTTTATTAATAAATAATTAAATATTGTGGAGTTTTTTAGCACGTGTAGGTGAGACTATGCATTGTCCACTCTTCAAGCTTAATAGGTTATTGTGTGAGGGGGCGTGTTAGAAAAATATAATATAAAACTATTGATATGGCCTCCATCTAATAACTTAAGCTTTCGGGTTGAATTGGTTCTTTATATTTATCTTGTGCAGGGATATATTGCAATGTGTACTATGCCTTTTCTCCTGTTATCTTTAGGAAAAACTTTTGTCATTTTAAATGATACAACTTCGTGTCATTTTAGATGAAACGACGTCGTTTTGGTGTATATTTGATATTTTTTACATTCTCTCTGCTCCATAAAATTAGGAAGAGAGAGAAAGTAGAGGAGAGAAAATGTAAAAAATCACCAATTACCCACCAAAACGAAGTTGTTTTTATCTAAAATGACATAAAATTATGTCATTTAAAATGACAAACACTTTTGTCGTTATCTTTTGGTATTAAGAAAAAGAAGTATTAAGAAGTTTCAACTCGGATATGTACTTTTGTACTCCAAGTGACAAATGACTAATGTGAATATGATGTGTGTGGTTCAAACCTTTTTTTCACCTGTACAACTATCATAACTATGGGCACAATATATAGTCGAATGCATGAGCAAAATGTAGAACTTACACTTTGTAATCTATGTTTTTCTGTCTTTGTTTTTGAGAAGATTTATACAAAGTGTGGGAGACGAGCAATGCCTACCATGATGATGGGATCTGCAGCAACATTCGTAGACTGTGATGAGTGCTGGAAATTGTTGCTGGTGACTAGAAAAGGATCCCTTTATTTATGGGATTTATTCAACCGAACCTGTCTCCTTCACGACTCGTTGGCTTCTCTAGTTGCTTCAAGTCCTAACTCATCGGCTAAAGATGCTGGTACCGTGTATTACCTACATATGTTTGATATAGGAGATTCTTTGTTTCTTTACTATTATCTCAGGGCTTATCATTTTCCTGATATGAGGACATTGTCTTGTTTTCTGACAATTTTTCATATGCTTTGGCTTTATGTCATTCTATTTTTCCTTTTCAGGATCTATTAAAGTTATATCTGCAAAGCTATCAAAATCTGGTTCTCCTCTGGTTGTTTTGGCCACTCGTCATGCTTTCCTATTTGACATGAATCTCAAGTGTTGGCTAAGGGTTGCGGATGACTGCTTCCCTGCATCAAACTTTGCCAGCTCTTGGAGTTTGGGCTCCGTTCAAAGTGGTGAATTGGCTGCTTTGCAGGTTGATGTTAGAAAATATTTGGCTCGGAAGCCTGGTTGGACTAGGTGTGTATTTATTGGCATCTATGTTTCATACAACCTTTAATTAGTGTTGGTCCTTGATTTGAAGATGCTATTGGATATTGTATGAAATTGATTTAAGGGGATATGGAAGGTGGGTGGGATATTTGTCAATCCCAATACTGTAATTTTCTAACAGTTGGCTTTAGCTTCATTGTCAGATTATGTGTGGTTCATTAATATTTCTGAATATTCTGTCATATATCTAAGCACGCTAAATATATATTATAATAAAAAGGATTTGTCCAAACATAATTGAGTCTGAAAATAGATACAATTATTGCTTCTATATTCATGTTTTGGTTTAGGAGGAAAACAGAACATACTAAAAAAAATTCTGGGTAGTATCCTGATGTTTAAACGAACACTTCCTAAACATGAATATTTGATGCAGAGTGACTGATGATGGAGTGCAGACACGTGCTCACTTGGAAGCTCAGTTGGCCTCTTCTTTGGCTTTGGGATCCCCCAATGAATATCGCCAATGCCTGTTGTCCTATGTACGCTTTCTTGCAAGGTATTATTCTATTCTCTTTTTCTTTTATATATTATCCAAATGCAATTTGGGCACCTTCTCGTTCTTGCATCAAAGTCTTTAAGAATTTATTTATCTAGAAGGGTCTAGTTATAAGTATATTTTTTAATAATTTTTAATTATTCAATCATATTTTGTGGTCTGTAATTTTGGACTAGTTGCAGACTAAACAAAGATTATAAAATGATTGCAGAGAAGCGGATGAATCTCGACTACGAGAAGTCTGTGAGAGTTTCCTTGGACCTCCATTAGGGATGGCGGAAGAAGCATCTTCAGATTCAAAGAGCTTAGCATGGGATCCTTTTGTGCTTGTAAGACATTTTTTTTATTTTTTTAAATCAATACACAATAATTTTATATTTTGTAAATCCTTGTTATTATTGTTATTATTAAGTGCTAAAAATGAGTCAAGCTAGGAATGGTGAAATGGCACAGCATTGGAGGTAAATCTTTTCCAGTATTTAAACAGATCATTACTGAAATTTTTTACGATTGAAAAGCTTAACTGATGAAAAGTGCTCTCTTAGAGTTTGTTTGGATGAGGGGTAATGAGTGGGATGGAAGGGAAACAATGCGAAATGAATAATACCCTTGTTTGGGAGCTTAAAAATTTATGGATGGGATGGGAAAAAGTGAGCAAAACCATTATCCCTCAAACTCCCACTTTTTGCTCCCCTCCAAATTGAGGGCCAAAGAGGAGGGAAAAAGCTTCTCTAAAGTGAGCAACTAAGGTGAATCCACACTCAATTTTGTTTGAAATGCATTGTGATTTTAAACATTAAATCATGTAAGGATGGATACTTCCTTACTTGCTTACTTTAGTGACAAGCTCATTCCGGAGGAGCTTTTTTCAATGAGGAATAACTTTGTTCTATTTAAAAAACTTGTCATCTACTATTTACCCAAAAAAGACATCATTTACTATTTTACCCCCACTAAATTTAGTCAAAGAAATTTATTAGGGTTATATTGAGATTTTACACTTAAAACCATATGCCTTCCCCTTTTGTACTTCATTAATCATCCAAACATGAGAGGGTGAGCATTGGAGTAGCGGTAAGGTTGCTCCTTGTGACTAGAAAGTCACGAGTTTTAGTAGCGGTAAGGCTGTGTATAATCGATCCTCATCCCTACCCACTAGTCGGGAGGCTTATGTACCGTGATTTGCTCCTAATAATCATCCTAACATGGGAAAGGCAACTGTTTTCCATCCATTCCTCCCCTGTTTATCCATCCTATCCCTTTCCATTTCATACCAATCTCTCCAAAACTTCCAAACATAGCTTTTGGATTACAACTGAAATGTTATATGAAGGTAGCATTAATGAATTTGGATTAGAACTGAAATGGTATATGATGGTAGCATTAATGAAGAATTGGTTGGCTGGTTAATTAGCTCTAACAATACACCGCATATTTATGTATACTGAAAAAATGTCAAGAAAACCTAACAAGATGCTGGAATTTCTATTGACCAACAGAACTGCTGTGAAATGTGAATGCCAAAGTACATTGTCACCTCATCATCTGAAGTTTTCTATTTGGATCTTTGCAGGGAATGAGGAAGCACAAACTCCTTATGGAAGATATTCTTCCATCCATGGCATCAAACAGGAAAGTCCAGAGACTGCTTAATGAATTCATGGATCTGTTATCCGAATACGAAATTGCTGATGCTAATCCAGTGTTACCTAAGACATCTTCACCACTAACCAATCAAATAGAGAGTGGTTCACTAGCAACAGATAAAGTGGACACTGCTCCACCAAAATTAGATCAGAAGTATCCTGAGGATGCAGCCATAGATAGCAATGCCCAGGTGGCAAATGATCAAACAATTTTCACTCCTGCACTTGCAAATGAAGTAAATGCCCATATGACTGACCAAGTTAGCCAGGATACACAAGCAAAAGAAAGAGCTTCTTGACTTTTGAAGGAAACCAGAGCTGCTTACTTAAGAAAACTTATGCTAGATGTGTAAATCTAAACTTTCTGTTAATTTTGTCTAACAGCTGTGGAAAATCCATATCTGTATAAGTGACTGTTGATAGTTTTGTTAACTGTTTAAGATTATGCTGGTAGAATGGCAACAAGGAAGCACATGTACTTTAAAATGATGCCATTTGACGCATAGTTATGTAAGATATTTATCGGACACAGTAAGTTTCTGTTAGCTAACTTAGCTTGCAACTTATAATCATTTGTTTTTTTTATGAAGTTTAGTAACAATGAGTGGTATCATAACAAAAGATAAATGTTGCCTTTAGGTTTTGTGCTAGGTTAGATATTGCGGTAATAATGCTTATGTTCTAAACGTAGGAACTCGTGTTTTAAAATTTCTGCTTTTATCTTAAATATTTATGTCGGATTTGTGTTTTCTGGTAGGTACAAAGGTTTTTTTTTGGATTTTCTTACCTATGTTGGCTATTTTTGTAACACAAGGATGGCAAAATAAAGAGATGGCAAAACAAAAAGAAAGAAAAAATGGTGGCTTTACTGAGAAGCCTGACCTCTTGCTTGCACACAGTGCCAAACTAATATTTTCAACTGATATGTTTTATTAATCCAAACTTTAATTAAATAGACAATTACACATGAAAGTCATAATGCATGAAAATACGAACCACATAAAACTACCTCTACCCACTTGGCTTTGGAAACTGCTAAAATTAGCAACAATAACGAAATAATAAAATAAAACAAAATAAAAACTAAAAAATTCGTAACATTCCCTTCCCCTAAAAATTACTCTTGTCCCCAAGAGTAATTCCTTTTATTTTTTATTCTATTTTCCCCTATCGGGCGGCTCCTCTTCGAGCTCCATCTCAGCTTCTCCGTCGCTACCCTCCATGACAGCGTGAATTGCGAATAACTTCTTTCAACGGTGACCCGATACATAAGTCTCATTACAACGAAAGCATAAGCCATTCCGTCTTCGTTCCGAGATTTCATCAAAGGATAATCGTTTGACCGGTGGATTTTCGCTCCGGGTTGGGTTATTCATGAGGGAAAGGGTTGAACTTGTGGTATTTGGGGAGATCTGGCTATTTCGTGCCTCATACAATTTGGCAAGCCCAATAGCATTAGATAAGGAAGTGGGTCGATTTGCTTGCACATCCGCCCGAAGAGTCTCAGAGAGCCCACTTATGAAGCAACTTACCTGCCTTGACACCTCCAATCGTCCAACCTTGGAGAGCAATTTCTCAAATTGACTTTGGTATTCTTGCATCGTACCATGTTGCTCCAACTTGGTCAATTCCCCAAAGAAATCAACAAATTGATTGGCACCGTAGCGTTATAGTATTTCTTTCCGAAACTCCAACCAAGTGATATGTGGATGCTCTTGGATGAGTAATTGGTACCACAACTGAGCATCTCTTGTGAAATGGAAAGATGCTAGTGAAACTCTTTCTTCTTCTGGGGTGTGATGATATTGGAAAAATTGTTTAGTTCGGCATAGCCAACTAGTTGGGTCTTCATTGTCATTGAATCACGGAAAATCCAATTTGACCACCTTGGGAGCGTATGTTGCATGCGATTTTGAAGCATTATGGGAGCTGCTTCCAGAATTATTCCCTTTCTGACGTGTTGGTGTGGTGACCATAACATCCAACCTATTGGAAAGTTGAGCGAACATCTCCTTAAATTGTTCTGACAAGGACTGCATTGCATTTTCCAATCTCTCCACACGTTCATCCATGCCTGTGCTTTGATACCAAGCTGGTACGTACAAAGGTTTTTCTTGGGTTTTCTTACCTATCTTGGCTATTTTTGTAACACAAGGATGGCAAAACAAAGAGATGGCAAAACAAAAAAAAGAAAAAATGGTGGCTTTACTAAGGAAGCCTGACCTCTTGCTTGCACACAGTGCCAAACTAATATTTCAACTGATATGTTTTATTAATCCAAACTCTAATTAAATAGACAATTACACATGAAAGTCATAATGCATGAAAATAGGAACCACCTAAAACTACCTCTACCCACTTTGCTAGGCTTTGGAAACTGCCAAGACTTATTCAAATAAATTCAAATACTAGTCTAGTAACTAATTAGCAACAATAACGAAATAATAAAATAAAACAAAATAAAAACTAAAAAATTCGTAACATTTTCATTTTAATCTTATCCTTGCGTCATAAGCTATGAAGCACCGACACTTCAAAAATTCTGAAGTGTCGTATCCAACACTTCCTGACACTGTTCGACACTTTAACATGCGTTGTAGAAACTCAAAAAATGGTTCAAAGATTGCGTTGCGTTTTTAGTTCCAACTATTAGATTCGTTGGGTTATGATTATCATTTTATTGAGTTTGATATAAATATTTGGGATATCTTATGTTTCTTTGCAAAATTGATGAGTATTATAAGTTTAACTTTATTTTTTTTGTTAAATTATTGAATATTAAATACAATATACATTACATAAATTAAAAATATTATTTAATATCAAAACGTGTTCTAACGTGTCAAAATCTAATATTTTTTAGAATTAACGTGTCGAAGTGTCGTGTCGTGTCACGTGTCGGTATCGGTGCTACATAGGTCATAAGTGGAATGTTATATTTTTTAAAATATGTCATTCTTGTATTGGTCTCTAGGGGTGTTAACGGGTCGAGTCGAGCCGAACTTTGGTCTTAAAAGGCTAAGCCTGTGTTTAAATATGTCAGCATGACCAAGTCTGTTACCTATTATGAATATAACTGTCGACTTGTGGTCTGACGTATTTACAAAAAATAAAAGCCTGGTTTAGTCTGTTTAAAAAATATTAGACAACAAAAATTTATCCAAGCAAGATATACAATCAACAGCACTAGTAATTCTATAAATATTCATAGACTCAATGTATATCCAAATAACATAATATAAAACAAAATTATTTAAAAAGTCTGTTTAACCAATAAAATAGATGAAATGGATTGAGGAGATAAAGAAGGCTATTACAAGTAGTATAAAAAGTATAAAATAAAAATAAAAATTACTATATTAGGTTAGCCTGAAAGGCTCTAAGGCATAATTTTTGAATTGGAGCCTGAGGCCTTTTTATTAAACGAGCTTTTATATAAGTTCAAGTTTAGTTCCAATGACCAATTTTAGACATGTAAACTCAGGTCTTCACGAGCCGAACCAAAGATTCCTAGCTCGTTTACCACCTCCATTGGTGTTTATTGTTTGTTACATGCTCTCGATGGAAAATGTTCATTGGATACAGATATGAGAAATAAATATATATTTTTCAAGAATAAAAAACAGTATCAATATTGATTATAGAATCGAAATAATTTATGATATTCATCCATTATTACTATTTCGTTTAATTGGGGCACGTTAGCCATAGTTTAGATTCGTGAATCTAGATGTTTTAAAAAAATTGGGCTCTGTTTAATTGAAGCCCGTTTGTATGCATTACTGAAACGGGTACCTAATGGATCGTGTTTAAAGTTTGCTTGTGTTTGAATTGGGTACAAATGGAAGACCAAAAAATTAAAAATAAAAGGATAAGATTTTGGTGCACAGTATTTTTGGTTTATCTACTACCTGGCGTTCAACCAATTAATGTTTGTATAGTTTACATTAATTGATCCAATTAAGTCAAAGACAATCATATGTTGAAAAAAAAATAAAAAAATTTGAGTCAACAAAATCGGTACCTGTTTGTTGTTGTTGCTGTTCATGTTAGTGGGTTGGGACAGTTCGATGCAACTGTAAACTGTGACCCAATTTAATGTGCCGAATGCTTATATTTTGCTGACTAATCTAAGAGATATTGAGAAAAAGATACACTTAATAGTACCAACTCGTGTCCCACTGCTACCTAAGATAATCCAATGAAACCATTCATACTAACCAAACTTTTTTTTTTATTTTAATTTCGTTTATTGGGTTGTGGCTATGAACAACCAATTTGAACGCCAATTACTCCAAAATTGACGTGTAGGTTACAAAATGCATACTATGTTTTGATCAGGGCCGATATTGAAGTTGGGACCTGTTGCCTTGCTAACAGTTGTGCAAGTAATGCGCGCAAGTATATGCGACAACAAGTAATATAGGGCTGTTATAAGTCCCAGTTATCGTTCCCACAAGGATCGTTGGCGTTTTGAAATGACTAAAATTTGTAATTGCTTAAAATTGAGTTACTATTTGAAAATAAAAGATATAAAATTGTAAAGTAAAAATAATTTAGAATGGACCTAAAACACTACTGTTCACTTTTCTTTTAAAATTTTCTGAATTACTTTCTTAAGTTATAAAATAAGAATGAAGAATGGAGCAACTTAAATGAAAAATGTGACAAAAATTTTGAAAACGGAATAGAGATTGAAATATGAAATAACAAAGGAAATTGGAAAATCTGAATTGATAAAGATGTTTAAAAAGGTGGGTTGAGTTTTTGGCTCTCCTTCCCCACAATGCTTGAAAAATAATTTGATTAACAAAAGGCTCATCCTAAGATTCTCTGTTAACAGGACTGTATTGTTAATTTTTAATCTCTTAAAAATTATTTTATCCCAAAGTTGCCCACTTCCATATCTCTATGCCAAGTGGGATTAGGACTCTTGAGATTCAGGTCCACTATTACATGAGGACTCATTCATTTCTGAATTGAGATCCCTTAGATGATTTCTCATCTAAGTTCATGTGTCTAATGCAGAATCCAGAATTAATTGTTTCTCAACAACTAAATCCTAACCAAACATCTGACATTTGGCCAAAATGCAGATAATTTTAAACATTAGAAACAACATTAAACAACTGAGATATAAACATTAAAACCAGGGAATCAAATATTTGACAAGCACTGAGGTTTGGGTATCACCTAAACCCAACCTCTAAAAAGTTAGCCACTATCCATAGGGGTGAGGCTTACAAACAGTAACAGAACTACAGAATTCACAAAATAAAAATTCTAAAAACTACAATTACAGCACTGGCCTAACAACCGGCAATCTCAGTGCTGTAAAGACATGCATCAAGTTCATCAAAATGAACCAGAATCTCATTACAAAACAGAAATTAAAAGAAACTCAAAATTGTTCAGAAAACAAAAACTAAGAAAAACCATAAATCAGAAAACAGAAGAGAGCTCCCCGATGACTCACTCCTATATCCCTTTTATAGGGCTCTTTGCACACTATCCTCTTTTT